AATAATAATAAAATAAATAATAAAATACAATATCGGAATAATAAACTAATAAAATAATAAACTGTTCTATAACAACACTTACTTATAAGAGATCTCTTCTCTATAAAAAAATTTTAATTATTATTTTCCGAAAATATTTTGAATTTTTATTTTAGAAAATTTTCAGAAAATTTTTCGATCTGTATGTTCTGAAAATGTTCCAGAAAATGAGCATTTTCTGGAATATTATTTACTGTCAAATTCCAGAACTAATCTGATATTTTTAAAAAATCTGATAATAATCAGAATTAAATATATTTATAAAAATCAAATTAATTCATATTACATTCATGCTATCTAATTATTCTAATCCTAACCCTAACTATTTTTTTAATAATGATGCAGTATTACACAAAACAATAATATTAAAAAAAAGACAATATTATATAAAAATAGTAAATCTATACTAGCAATTACGATAATTATGATGACTCCAATATAACACAGCTCAATTATAGCAACGACTAACACAGTGCAAAAGAACGAAGCCCACCAGTGATTCTCTAACAACAACGACTTCAAAACAACACCAATAATTCTCCAACTATGGTGATTTTAACACACATGACATAGAGGCACTATAGAAAAATCTATAGAAATAATAATATTAGTAATCAGGAATAGAAAACAACGAAAGAAAGAAATGAAACAGAAAAGAAAAAATGAAATAAAAAGAAACAAAAAAAGAAAAGAAATAAGCAAAAGAAAATGAAGAGAATGAGAAGAATGAAATGAATACAAAAAAACAAAGAAAAGAAAAGGAACAACAGAAAAAGGGTGAAAGAAAAGAAAAAGAATAAAAGAAAAGGGACGAAGAAAAAGGAATGAGAGAAAAGAAACGAAATGAAAAAAAAAAACAAAAAAAAGAAAAGGAACAAAAGATAAAAAGGGATAAAGAAAAGGGACGAAGAAAAAGGAATGAGAAAAAGGAAAAGAAACAAATGTAAGAAAAGAAACAAATGAAAAGAAAAGGAACAAATGAAAAGAAAAGGAACAAATGAAAAGAAAAGAAACAAATGAAAAGAAAAGGGACGAAGAAAAAAAAAAGGGACGAAGGAAAAAAAAGGAACAAAGAAAAGAAAATGAGCAAAGGAAAAGAAAAGGAATGGAGAAAAAAGGAACGAAAGAAATGAA